GCTCATACGCTCATACGCTCATACGCTCATCCGCTCATCATCATGGACCGTGTCAATTGCAAGTGTGAAATGTATGAATGCAGATGCTGATGCAGATGTGTCTTGTCGTTCGGTTTACGGCAACACTGCTCGCCGTGATCGCGGCTTCTTGCGCTGTAGTTCCGCCTCCTCCCTGGCGTCGGGCCCACCCGCCCGATTGCGCGACACGGATCGGCTTCGCTTGGATCCCGCACCCGCCGCACTGAGAAAGCCTGCAGTGGCATTGCCCTCCGCCGAGGCTCCCACGCCCATCGCCAGCGTCGGATCCGCATAGCCCGCACGCACCTCGAGTGGCGACGAGGGTCGGCTCGTCGAGAGGAACGACGGCCGTCGACGGACGCTACGTCGATCGCCTCGGCGTGAGCCGTGATGATGATGACTCTCGTGTCGATGATGGTGGTGATGGTGGTGGCTTTGCGCGCCGCCGTGCACATCCGGCAGCGCCGTGTCCGGGATCGCCAGCCCAAACAGCACCGCAGGCACCAGCGTCACTGTCGCCACAATGCTCAGCATCCGCATCACCTCCACCCACGCCCGGATGATGCCATCGCGCTCGGCCGTCCCCAGCGGATAGCTTAGCGCCTTTTGCAGACTGCCGTACACCAGCTTCAGCTCGTCCGCCTCCATCCCCGGCAGATTCGCCGCGAGCTTGGCTGGCAAGTACGTCTGGAACAGCCATCCCGCCGTCGCAGATCCGATCGCCGCCCCGATCTCGGTCGTCAGCAGCTCCAGCGCCGTCACAATCGCAACATCCGCATGCCGCACCGTCACCTGCACCGCCACCTGCATCGTGATCGCGATCGATCCACCCCCGATCCCCTGCAGCAGCTGGCACAGCACCAGCATGTACGTCGGATCCTCCGCCGTCCGATACCGCACCATCAGCGTCACGCCCAACAGGCGCACCACCAGCCCGATCACCAGCAGCACCTTGTACCGCCTCGTCATTGCCATCAACGACCCCACCACAATCCCCGTGATCGTCGACGTCACGTTTTGCGTCGTGGCAAAGTAGCCCGTCCGCGTCTGGTCCCATCCCTTGAGGATCTGCACAAAGCTCGACAGAAACGTCCACGAAATGTAGAACGACGCAAAGTCCAGCACCCCGACCACACATGTGCACACCACCGCACTGTTGGTCAAGAACTGGTACGGCAGGATCGGCACCGACGCCCGAGTCTCCCACCAACCGAACACCAGCAGCAGCCCCACACCACCCGCGATGAAGGTCGCCATCGGCACCTCCGCCTGCCGCTCGCCATGCCCAGCCAGCGTCAACGGCAGCAGAATCAGCAGCCAGCCACCGGTGAACAGCAGCAGCCCCACCACATCCAGCTCCGTCGCCAGCTGCCGCAGCGCAGACCGCCATGGCTTGTCCCTCAGCCAGCTTCGCGTCGCCAGCCCCGCCCGCTGCGCCCGTCGCTGGCCCACCAGCAGCGTCAACAGCAGCGGCGTCGCCGCCAGCGGCATCACCACCGTCCAGATCGCAAATCCGAACCGCCAGCCGCCGTGACGCATGACCAGATCCACCATCGGCCCCGCCACCGCAAAGTTGATCAGGAACGGCAGATTCACAATGCCAATCACCAGCCCGCGCCACTTGGCCGTCGTCGTGTCCGCAATGATGATCGACTGCAGCACTTGGATGCCCGTCGTGCCCGCAGACTGCAGGCAGATGCCGCCGATCAGCGATCGCAGCGAGCTCGTCGACGCAACAATCAGGTAGCCGCACACGTAGAAACAGAGCGAGAGCACGTACGCCTGCGGACGACCCACCACATCCGACAGCTTGGCGATCGGCGGCTTGGCGATCGCAAACACCATCTGCTGCACAATCGCAACCGTGCTGAACGACGCAAGCGCACCGTACTCGCTGCATGCAAAATTGAGGTAGAGGTAGCCCGTGTTGGAGTCGAGCGACGACACGTACGCAACGCAAAAGATGGCCGAGTACACGAGCAGGTACAGTCCTCTCCGCTTTCGCCACAGCGCACGCGCATCGTCCGCGTCTTGCTCGCGCTCCAGCCGCCCGGGTTTCAGCAGCCGCTGGTCCTCGGCCTCTTCGTTGACATCCGACCCGTCGTCGGAAAAGGCGTCAAGGCTCGGTCGCTTGTCGTCCGCCTTGAGCAGCTGCGAGCGTGCCGTCCATGCCGCATCGCTCCAAGACACGCGCGGACGCTCGGTTTCAGCCGAGTGCAGAGGCTGTTTGCCAACGTTCACAGCGCTATCTGTCGCCGAACTGGCAGTGTGGTTGCTGGGCAAGCCATCGCGATGACGGGACGGCGCAGGATCCGCGCGCGACTTTGCGCTTGCGCCGTATTCAGCGCGTTCTGCGTTGCTGCCCTCCGAAGCTGGCGCCGCTGCTTGTGCGCTCGAAACACCTTGGCTGTAATCGCGCATGGTATCTCGATGCCTTGTCGACGTGCTGGATCCTTCTGGGATGACATAGGCCTCGACTTGAGCCGATGCAACAGCCGTGTCGGCCTTCTTCATCGGCAGATTCGGGCTCGTCGAAGCGTGGGATGTTGCGTCCTCTTTCTCAGACGATGCTTGGGGACGACGTGGCGCACTGATTGGAGGGGCTGCAGGGTCCGAGCCCTTGCTTCCCGGTGGACCTGCGACGGATGCTGGAAGGCTCAGATAGAAGGTCGGCGTGGATGTCCTGCTCGACGGGGACGGTGCGAGCGGGTGATTGAGCGGGACTCGAGACGGGCGAGCGATGTTTTGCGATGCAGTGCCGGAACGCCCTGGCGTCAAGAAGACGTCGTTGGGTGGGAACTGGATGTAGAAGACGCCTGCTCCACACCTGCCTCGGGATTCGTAGAGATGGTCCTCGAGCAGACGCAGGTTGCGCAAGTTGGCCTTGAAGAGGATGTCGAGCGCGTCGCCGAGCAAGGGCACGATTCCGATGATGCAGTCGACGACGACGTTGACCAACATCCACAGCAGCAACGACAGCGGCACGCCGAACAGCGAGCAGAGCAGGATCTGGTAGAGACCCAAAGCCAGTCCGATGTAGTCTCCGATGCCTGGGATCACGCCGAGGATGGATTCGATGCCAACGTTGAAAGGCAGTCGAGAGCCGAGGAAGGGTATCGAGTCGAGGTACCAAGCGACGGTACGGATGTGATTGTAGAGCTGTTGCGCCTCGGCATTGTTGCGAGGAGGATGGACGAGCGGCCAGTAGCGAGCTTCGAAGGCGACAGTGTCCGGCGCCTTGATGGGCACAGGCCCACCTGCGTTTAAGGCGTGGCTTGCAGCAGAGGCAGAGGGCGCTTCGGGCGGAACCACGCCATCGAGCGTTGATCGTGGTCGATCGGCAAGCTGGAGCGGAAATACGAAGGCGGCCAGCTTGTTGACGGCCCAGCCTGTTGTCGCACAGAGCATCGCCGTGGACGCAAGGGCGCTAGAATGCTCCCGGCTGCGGACTCCGACAGCTGAGCTGCAGTGATAGTGTCCACCGTGTGGATCTGTGCGCTCGTGCTCGCATAGGCTTAGCCTCGGCGAGGCGCGTGGCAGTCGATCGGAACGAGCATCCAAGAGGGTCCGTGCTGAGTCGAGCGAGGAAGACGCACGAAAGACGCACGGTTCGTGCTGGACGGAACTGGCCACAGAAGAGCCGATGACAGGTGTGTGAGGACGCGGGCTTCCCGAGCTACTGGCTGGCCGGCTGCCGAGGCCGAAGTGCAATGCGATGCGCTCCAGGGATCCGTCCGACGGGGGCGCGAGAGCTGGAATTGCGCCAGGAGTGTGTCGCAAGGTGGGTGATGGCGAAAGGGATGAGAGAAGCAGCGAGCAGGCCCGTGTCCGAGGTGCGAGCGACTGAGCAACGTGGTCCAAACGCTGCTCCACTCGTTTGGACCGTTGCACCCGGTTGGTGGGCATTTCGCCGATCCCAAAATCCAAAATCCAAAATCCAACACCGAAAATCTTACAGTACTCGGATTTTCGAGCGTCCCAGGCCAACGTGAGGTCGAGAGGCTCAGTCTCCGGCCGTTGCGACGTCTGACAGGGCGCGCTTTTCAGGCACATCGGTCCTGCGCCTTTCGTCGCGCCCGCATTGTTGCTCGCATGCACTGTTGGCCATGTTTGTCGTTGCGAGGATCTCTGACCCCGGTCTCAGCGCCGCACAGCGGCTCGCGTATGCGCAAAGGTATACTGCGCTCCGCATCAGTGGCCTCGAACGCTCTCCCCATGCCTTTTCCTCGACCCTAGCTACCGAAGCGCGATTGAGCGATCACGAGAAGCTGGCGAGGCTTCAAGAGCCGGGCAAGACCATCTTTGTGTGCATCAATTCAGAGACGGACGAGTGGGTCGGACAGGTGACGCTCATCGGTCCTCAGACTCGCGCCGAGTACGATCGAGGTTAGGGTTAGGGTTAGGGTTAGGGTAGG